TCCACACTAGCGCCTCGTACGTAAACCACCTAAGGACTGTGTCCCCCCAGGCCTGGTGCCCGGCCCTGACCGCTGACCACACGCTTTCCCCGGCCCCCTGGCCAGAAGTCGGTATACTCCTGGGGAAACCGTCGTAATGAAAGTGACCGAACTTACGAAATGCTTGTCACGGACAAAGTGCTTTGCAAACAGTGATTAATCACTGTTGGAGGGTCGCCCCCACGCGACACACGCCCTGTTCCAGAAACCCGTCTCCAGCGCCTGGGGACTCCGCGCCCAGCTCTTGCTAGCCCTGGGTTGGGGGGGGGCTTGGGGGCAGCACCGCGCGTCGCCCAGGGCGGCGGCGCCCTCGTCCACCCCCGTGGTGCTGCCCCCCCCCCCCCCCGCAGCTCCCGGTTCCCCGGAGCGACTCCCCCACCCCATCGCACCCGGGGCGGCAGGCGTGTCTCCCAGGGCGGCAGGTGAACCACACGGGGCCGTGGCAGATGCTTCCGGAGAGAGGAGAATGACTGAGCCTTTCTGCTGTTTCCTCACAAATGACTGCTTTCCATCTTTCTTTAATTTTATCCCAAGACGATACTGTTTCACCAACATCTGGAGGTTAGTCTGCCTTATTATTTTAGTCAGGCTTAGCAAAAACACTTATTTTCCTGGGGACACTCAGGAAAACAAGAGTTGTCCCACCAGCTGGCTGCCTCCGCTGCTCCAGAAAGCAAAACGTGTCTTCTAGGCATCGTTTTCTCCGCCCAGACGCCGGGAAGGCCAGGAACATTCAAAACAATGGGACAAACGCACTGGCTTTTTAATGAAAATTATTTAGCTATGAAGACATGAAAGAAATCCTAATAGCTACTACATATAATTTCATGAGAGAAAACAAATTTAATAGGAGAAAAACTAGAAAGCAAATAATCTCCAAATGTCAAGGTAATACAAAGCTCTGGATTTTGATATTCTTTTCTCACGGTCATCCTAATCCTAATCAGGATGCAGGCGGGATTTCCCAGGCCCGTGGTGGCCACGTGACGTCCACCAGCTCGGACACCGCTGCTGCCCACTCGGCGCGGGCGGGTCCCGGCCAGCTGCACCCCACACACGCAGCGTCACGCTCACCGCGTCGGGGATGCGGGACGAGAGGGGCGACGGTGTGAGCCCTGCACGGCCGTGACTTTCAGAGCCCCGCCTCTCTCGGGAGGTGCTTTACGCAGCGGTGTCTTCCAAGACGCACCAGAGGGGGAAGGAAGCGTTCTTCCGGAGTCGTTGAACTGGTTCACGGAAAGGAAGGGGCCCACCCCCGGCCGAGGCAGGATGGTTTGAAACCGGCCTCAGAAAGTGACCTGGTGTTCGTGCTGAGCGCGGCCTCGGCGGAGAGTGGGCGGGGCGGTTCGCGACGGGAAGCAGAAGAGAGTCCCTCTCCCACGTGTGCAAACGTTGCCTGTGACTGGTCCCCCCATCCCCCCACCTCCCCCCGCACTGAGTTAGTCGGTGTCTCCACGGAGCAGGGGCCTCTGTCACAGCGGTGGGGACGCGCGATCCCCAGAGGAGGGTGGGTGGTCGGACTCCTGCAGGGCCCTGCGTGCGCGTGTGTGACGCAGACCCCCACCTGCCCGTCGTGCGGTGACAGCGAGTCCCGCTGAGCGGGCTCCGCGGGGCCGGGACGCGGCGGCCACGCCAAGGCCAGCTGCACGGCCGTGCGGAGGCCGTGGGCGCCGGGCTGGGTCAGTGCCCGGGGGGACTCCCCCGCTGCAGGGGCGTGGGGCGGGGGGCTTTTAGGGGACCTAGCGCCCCACGTGCCCCGAGTCCCCGCATCTTACGTGCGGACGAGGGCACTGAGGAGACTGCGTCCACGACTCACCCCGGAGGTGACGGCGTTAGAAACCAAGCTCGTGTGACCTTCGAAAGGAGCGCCAGGCCGGTCGCTTTCTGTGTCGACTCCTGCGGGCCGAGGGGGGCTCCGGTGTTCGGTTCCGCGGTGTCCCCGTGCGTCTGCCGGGCCGCTTCTGGGCGGGGGGGTCTTTGAACCAGCCCCGGGCCGTTGCCCCTCCCAGCCCCCCCCACGGGCCGTCCGCTCCTCTGCTCCACTGGGGGCCGAATAAAGTCAACGCTGGATAGGAACGAGGCCCTTCTCTCCACCGGACGGAGGGACAGTTCTCGCTGCGGCTGCCCCGGGGCCCAGGGTCCGCCTGGAGCTGCCCCGTGGGCGCCCCAGGATGGCGGCATTGCATGCCCGCTCCTTAGAGCTACCCCCCCCCATGTTCTGCAAAGCATTCTAGAAAAGTCCGGGTTGGGTCAAGTGCGCAGCTCCACAGCAGGTGAGGCGGTGGCCCGGGCACATGGGGGTGCGCCGAACCTGATGCCCCTCGAAGGAGCACAGGCCGGGACTGGGTTCAGGCTCAAAAACCTCCCATTACGTTCGGGAGGTGATGGTCACGTCACTGCGCCTGGAGTCCAGTCCACTCGGGCCCTCTCCCGCGGTCTGTCCTGGCTGTCGGCCATCCCGGGCGCCCCTCCCGCTGCCCAGAGGGGGCCCGCAGACCCGGGGGGTTGCAGCGTGACCAGGAGGAGAGGAGAGGAGAGCGTGGGGCTGAGTCTGCAGGGAGTCACCGGGGTGGCCCCGAGCTCCAGAGAAAGGGCCACCTGTCCCTTGTCCGGCGTCCTGACCCCTGTTCCCCTCTCCTTCTCTGGCCGCTGCCGGGGCGGCCGCTGGTTCTCCCCTTCCCTAGAGAGTGTGGGGAAGGGACCCCGTGCGTACGGCAGCCGGGAACAGCCACAGACTCGGTCAGTGACAGGGTCCCCAGGGAGCCTTCCTGCGGGCGGGGGCGGTCCGTTACCCGGGAGATCCTCCCGCGCTGGAGGCTCGGAACCGCCCGGTTCCGCTCCTCAGGGCACTGGCTCCGGGACGGGGCGAGGTGCTCGTTTTCGTGGGGCTGCTGAGGGTTCTGACATAAACACGGGGGGCTGGGTTTATCGTCCGTCGGACACGCAAGGAGGTGGGGTCCCCGGGTTCACTCATGGCAGTGGGCCAGAGCAGCTCCGTGTGTCCAGCAGCGATGCTCCGTCGGGCGTGCGACACACTCGTGCGCGCCGCGGCCCGCCGCCCTGGCCCCCTGCAGCGGGTGGTGGCAGGTGGGTGCGGTGTCCCGGCCGCGGCGGAGAGGCGGGCCCACGAGACCCCGCGCACAGGGGCTGGCAGGCCGCCGTCCTGCCAGACCCCACTTGGCAGAGTCCAGTGCGGGCGGGCGAAGACACGACGGGTGTGTTAGGTGTGGAGTCACACAGCCCTTCAACACGCGGGCAAGCACGGGCCCAAGCACACCTCGCGTGTGAACGTGACAGCCGCTGACCAAAACCGGCCCAGTCTGGGACGCACACACGCGCGTGGCTGTGACTCTAAGTCACCTGAACAAAAACCTCGCGGATGTCGGACACCCACCCCCCCTCCAGCTGGGTGGGGGGGCGCACGAGGCTTGTCTGTCTCCGGGCTGGGCCGGCATCAGGCCATCAGCCGCCTCACGGGCCCTGCGATCCCCACGGGCGCCCTGCCCGGGCAGCAGCCGGCTGTCTGGGTGGGTGCGTGCCCCAGGCCCCAGCCGCCCTTCACGGGGCCCCTTCAAGGCCCGGCCAGCGGGCACCGCGTGCGGGGACGAGGGCCGGTCTGGGCTGCGTGTCCGCCTCGCTGCCCGGCCCAGGCCCAGCCCACAACCGTGACAAGCTGCCGTCCAGCCGGCCACGCCGGGAATCTCGAACAGCTCTAAACTTCTCTACGAGTGGAAGTGACAGAGCCCAGCTGCGAGGATTGCGTGAGCAGAGTTGGAATCTCCTCAACATGAGGGAGAAGCTGCACCGTGAGAACGAGGTGGCCGCTCTGTGACCGACCCTGTCTCCCCGCTGACTCCCAGGACAGGACGGTACGATGGCTGGTCTGGGGGCCGGAGCAGCCCAAGCACAGGCCTGTCCTCCCGGTGCCGGCAAAGGCAGCGGTGGCCGCACAGATGGCCCCGGCCCACGCGCCACCTTTCCCTCCGCACGCCAAGCGACCCCGAGAACGGGATGCCGGCCTGAAACAGGTTCACCCCAGCGAGGCGTCCACCACAAAGCCTCCCGAAGCTTTGGACAGCGTAAGGATTATTTTTACAGCGGACAGAAGATTGGCAAAGAAACATTCGGACCAACATGTCGAAAACCTGGTGAAATGATGCTGTTTCCAGATTTATTTATTGTAGAAAAATAAGGCCACATACATTGCGAACAGCGTATAATAATTACCTGAGACGTGTTCATGCAACATTTTCCTTAGCAGCATACAGAACTGTCTGAAGAAATGGAACTTCGCCATGAGGAGTTCTTCACTGCACATCAGGGTGGTGAGATCATTTTAGGAAGATGTTATTTCCTTTTTTTCTCTTTGCCGTAAAGCACGTCCCCCGCCATTATTAATACTGAACCTCCAGAAAAGACCTGAGGAGGTCGAGTGTGTGGATGTATTATCAGGTACAAATATTCCGTGCCCCAAACCGATTCCCAGATAGAAGCACATCACCTTTGGAATTGCTTCCATTTCAAAAGCAACCCCACTACAAGCACATTATTTTCTTTTATTTCCAAGGAGGGTGACAGGTTTTAATACCGAAGTAAATTGCTGATAGCATATAAAAATGCACACTTTGGCTGTGATGACTGTAATCTATTTCGTATTTATCATCGTCAACGAGGGGAGTTATTTATACCCTCCCTGGAAGTCTCTTAAAAGCCACCGCAGTGAAAACTCCACAGCTTAATTTGGCACCTTCTCACTGTGCAATCATGTGCAAACTTTAAAATGCAAACGTGTTTAAAATTGTTTTATTACTGTACCATAGATATTTACAAGATCTTAATAATATACTTTTTTTTTTTTACTTTCCAAACAAGTCTGTAATAAGAATGTTTCTGTGCCGGGGCTGGGGGCCTTATTTACAGGAGGATTCGCTCTCGGCACCCTCAGGAGATGGGTGGTGGGTTTATTCGTCGTACGAGTGGGCAAAGGGCAAAACAGTGAGAAATCACGACGGCCACTGGCAGGAAACGGTCGCCCGGTTCTGACACGGGAACTCCTCCGGAACTCAGACCTGCGACGTGGAGAAAGAGAACAGTGTGTCCTGCGAGAGAACGAGATGGCGCGCTGGGCTGACTCTCCGCGACCCGAGTGCCTGCTGTCACTTCTCTCCTGAGAACGTGGTGGACCGTGCCCGTCCCACGGGCAGTGGGCTTCCTTTCAGGGGGCGCCCCGACCCGCTGTCCCGGGGTATCTGCTCCAGAAGCAAAAACGAAAAACTGAAACTGCCCAAAATGACCCGGGCTGCGGGTCACATGAGTGGGTCTGCGACTCCACTCAGCCTGAGTGTCGTGTTCGACCGGTGACGCCTCCGCCACGGGTGTGGGGCCCGGCACGCGCCCACGAGCCTCACGTCTGTGCTCCCTGCGTGTGCAAATCTGTGGGAAAACTGCGATTTCTGCCCCACGGGTGGAATCACGCGCCAGGGTACACAGTCATTTTTCTCGTTTGCAAGATTCAGATGAGGAGCCATAAAGCTGTTCGTGTTATGTAAACATGTTGCACATTTCAGGGATTATTTAAAGAAAAACTGACTCATCACCTCTCGCTCACAGTGGAAAATGGCAACAGGGACCTCTGTGATTCCACCCGGCATTTGGACCAGAATCGGCAGCGCTCACGGAGCCCGGACCCCGCCGCCACTTACTGGACACCCTGGGGATCCTGATCTCCCGGCTGCTGCTGCCGTCCCCGCCGTCGCTGACCGCCCGGATCTCCACCAGGTAGTCCTCCTCCAGCGGCGCCCGCAGCTCGGCGGACGTGTCGTTGGTCTCCAGCACGTGGGTCTCGCTCTGCCGGTTGTGCCGGTACAGGATCTGCGGGAGACGGCAGGCCGCACCGCGTGAGGGGACCGCGTGAAGGGACCGTGTGATCCCCTTCTGGGTTTCAGACACGCGTCAGGCATGCGAGAGACACGTCACCGCCAACACGCCGGCCCCCGGGATGGAGAGGCGCCACGCAGGCCCGGGTTCGAGCGTGCGGTGTTGGGGAAACGCCTGCTTTTGGGGCCGGCGCTTCTGGAAGGAGAACAGAGTCGTCTCCGTTTATTAACTAGCTCGAGGCGGTTACAGCCGCAGCGGGCTGCCGGAAGTCACCGCTGACTGCGGGCGCGTCACAAATCCCCGGGCGCAGGCCAGTGCTGGGCTGGATGTCCGTGGGCACCGATGGCCCCGACGGGCAGGCCTCACGCTGGGTGTGTGAGCGCGCTCCTGTCCGACTCCTTTTATGTCGGTGAGCGATCGCGTCCCACTGCAGCCTGCGTTCTAGAAAGCCCGTGTGAACACCATTCTTTGACCTCGCTCTCACCTCGCACCACCGGCCCCCCGTGAGCCGCCACCCTCGGACAGCCAGGACCGCCGCTGGGAGAAGGATCCCTGCGAACTAGGGCGTTCTCGTCCTCCCCCCCCTCCGTGACGCGTGACGGCCTCAGGGCAGGAAACTCCTCAACGAGGGAGTTAGTGACAGCAAGGCCAAGTCTTTCTGAGACATGTTTTTTTTTTTTTTTTAAAGAGCCCTAAACCTCCACACGCGGGACACGGGTGTGCTGTTTGGCCGAGACCGCCCTGGCCCCGCAGCGGCCCGGCCGGTGGGACCGACGCGGGGGACCCGGCGCTCACCTTGTAGCCCAGCACCTCGGACTCGTTCTCCGTGGTCCTCACGTGCTCCCAGTTCAGGCAGAGCTTGGAGTCCCGCAGCCTCCAGGCGATGTTGGCGGGCGGCTGGCTGGGCGCTGCGGGGAGAGCGTGCGACACCGAGACGGTGAGCATCAACGAGCGCGCGGGGACGCTGCGGCCCGCCCACACGGGAAGGAGCGGCGGTGCGCCGTGGGTTGTGGGCAGGGGGGAAGCCGCAGTGTTTCCGGCATCACCAGAAACGCCGTATTAATTCTAAAACTAGAGGGAGCGAATTCGCTCGCGCTCCGGTCACTTGGGGATGTCCGTGTCAGACGTGTGGATTGCTGATGGCTCACGGCGGCGCGTCCAGTTTTCATGTGTTAGTCGTCGCCGTGGCGTTTGTTTGTTCTTTGTCGGGGGCAGATCGACGGGGGCCCCCTCGCCCCTGCCCCCCCCCGGCCGTCCATCAGGGTGCACCCCAAACACCCTCAGGCTGCGGACCCTTCGCACGCGGGGACCCAGAGCGTTCACTCTTTGTCACCTTTTACCCACCCTTCGGGCTTGACTCAGGGCTCTGGCTGTGGGCAACCCTCAGGTCAAGGTGTTTTAAGGAAAACTGAGAAACACATCGTGGAGGGTCCAGGGGAATCTCCCAGACCTTGTGGTGGAATGTGGCGTGGGCTCAGGGGAGACCGCAGGAAGTGTCGGAACGCCAAGCGGGGTCTCGCCTGCTCCCCACAGGGGTGTCTGCTGTGTGCTCCCTGCGTTGCGCTGGGCCACCTGACTGCCGTCCTCAGGGTGCGAGGTGGGGATCGGGACCGCCCACTACACCTGAGGCTGGATGCCCCGCCCCCCCGGCTGGAGACAGGCCAGGCTAGAGAGTTCCCAAGACAAAGCTGGTGACGGACTCCACCTGGCCCTGTGTCCACCTGGGCCACGTCGGCCGGGGCGGGGGAGCGAGAAGCATGAACGTCACACAACAGAAGCTCAGCTGCGCCCTGGCTGGCGTGGCTCAGTGGATGGAGCGCAGGCTGTGAACCAAAGTGTTGCAGGTTCGATTCCCAGTCAGGGCACATGCCTGGGTTGCAGGCCACGGCCCCCAGTAACCGCACATGGATGTCTCTCTCTCTCTCTCTCTCTCTTCCCCCTCCCTTCCCTGTCTAAAAATAAATAAATAAATAAGATCTTTAAAAATCTTTAAAAAAAAAAGAAGAAGCTCAGCTGCTGGGGGCCCAGGAAAAGGAACATCATCACGGAGGGAGGACGGGATCTCCCTCAAGTCCACGCTGTGGCTTGGAGTTCCCTGAAATTCATGCTGTCTGGGAGGAAGGCGGAGGGAACCCGGGGTTGATGGGCCTGGGCCACCCGGAAGGGTTCACGCGCAAGAGAGCTGGAGTGCAAGGCGGGGGGAGGGCTCCTCCAGGAGCAGGCAGCTCCCGCAAGGTGAGGGAACCCCGAGTCCCCCCCCTACCCTGAGGTTTCCAGTCTAGTGCTTCTCCATGCCCCGCGCTGCTTCTCAAAGACCACAGGCCACGTGATCATCTCCGAGATTTGAAAATCTGGAGAGACTAAAAGTAGTTCGGCTGGAAAGCAGAGGCAACGACGGAACTACTGCCCGGGCAGATGTGTCTGGCACCGGACCGGCATCTGAGAGGCTGGAGGAGCCTAGTATCCGACGTGCTGCAGTGCGGGTGGGAGTGGAGACGCTCTCCGTGGGGTTTTGACTCACCCGCTACTTAGCCTGCGTGCCTGGAGGAGGGCGGTGTGAGCGACATTGTGCTTCACGTCCCCTTGCCCACCCCACGCCCCCGGGGCCGTCCCCGCTGCTCCCCCAGTCACAGCTCAGCCGGGACACGGCAGACACAGCGGTCTGCCTCCTGCCCCCATGGCACTGGGCCCCTGCTGCGTTATGGACCCGCCGCCCTGCACTGCAGTTATTTGCGCTGTTGCGTTTGGTTGCATTTGTCGAGAGCACGGGCCTCGCTGAACTCTGCACCCCCGACCCCCCAGCAGGTTTCACCGGTGCTGAGTGTCGGACTAGGCCCCTGGGTGGCTGGGGGAGGCCACTCCAGGTCCCGTGTGACAGTCTCAGGCCGAGTTAGTGATGGTCTGGACTGGGGGCAGACCCGCAGGTGACACGGTGTGGCCGTCCGACGGGCCGGGGAGGAGCAGCCGCGTGAGGTTAGCCCCCCGGAGGGACGACAGGAGCAAGCCCCCTCCGGGACGTGACTGTGACACCATCCTTCTTTGTGGGGCCAGCGGTCCGGACCGTCCCCCACCTCGTCTAGGTCAAGCTAGCGGACGCAGGGGAGTGGGTTGTGGACCCTCAGCGCGCACAGCCCTCTGCCGAAACGGAGCTGCCCCCCAGGCCTTTGTCCGCCGCCGGTGTGTCTCCTCCCGAGTTCCACCGTGCTCTGCGGTTTCCACGGCACGCCTGTGGCAGCGCCTCACCGGTGCCGCGCCGACCGCGGGGCAGGCGGTGAGGACGAGGGGTCCCCCCGCCCCCCTCCCCGCACACAGGGGAGTGAGAGCAGGGACGCGCAGTGTCTTGCTCTGGTTCAGGTCGGGGGTCCGCCGAGCACCCGCAGTTCAACCTCGGGGCTCTGGCTGCTGCCCGGGGGTGGGGCCACATGTGGGGGACCCCTGCGTCCCCTGAGGACAGGACCACTGTCCGCCATGGCGAGGAAACCCCAGGCCACTTGGTGTTCAGACTGTTTCGGCCACCTGTCATGTCGCAGGGCCACAGGCAGTGGGAACGCCGCGGTTAAAGGCGCGCAGCCCCTCCTGTTGCCGGCGGCCGTGGTGTCGCGCCCCGGTCCCTCTCAGACTCGGCGGGTTCGAGACTCTCGCCCGTCGCCCGTCAGGACACAGACTCCAACGAGCCTGTGCTGACAGGAGCAGAGCAAGTTCCTCTCCGGCGTGTGAGAGCAGAAAACAGCGTGTGTCCAAGAAGAGGGGCTTCTGTCCGAGCAGAGCGTGCCCGGTGTGCCCTCGCCCGCTCTGCCGGACGCTGGTGCGAACCCGGGCCGTCCGCGTCCGCGGGGCAGAGGCCGCAGCAACCGGCCGTCACCCTCCGTGCGGGGCCCTGCCCCCGGGCAGGCTGCTGGCGCAGGGAGGCCGAAAGGGGCAGGGGGGCCACTTCTCGGACCTCGGGGTCCCCCGGTGAAGGAGACTGGGAGACCCCCCAGAGGGAGGGCCCGGGTTTCCCGGCCGCGGGGGACCCCCCTGCAGTGCACGCTGGGACTCACATGACGAACAAAGGGAGCACGGGTGACAGGAAGCTCCGACTGGAGAGAGTGTGTCCGGGACCCTTTCCTCCCACCGTCCCTCCCCCCTCGACTGACGCCCTGTGAGGGCAGCTCCTCTCCGCCCTCGTCTCGGAGCTGCGGGCGTGGAGACTGACCAGTCACGGGAACGCCCCACGTTCCCCACGGCCGGGGGCCCACCGTGGGCTCCAGCCGGGACAGGGTGTCACGGCCTGTGTCTGTAAATTCTGTACATCACCTCCACGCTCAGGACAGCTCGGAGTGTATACGCCAAAAATATCAGAGCAGGCTATTCCAATTGTCACCAGACAGTTCCGACAATTACCCCCACGGAACAGGCAAACCAACCAACTGCGGGAAGCAATCGGTGGACCTGGGTGGGGGGCGGGGGGGGAGGGAGAGCTGGCACAGGCCCGCGTCCCCGGCCACGGCGGACGCCGGCGCGTGGCATGGGAGCTGTACTCACGGGACTTTTTGGTGGTGGCGTTGACCGGGGGGCTGGAGGGCCCCACGCCGCCCGTGTTGTAGGCTCTGACGGAGGCGAAGTAGACGGTGTTCGCCCGCAGCCCGGTGACGGTCTTGGCCGTGGCGTTCCCACCAACGCGCACCCGGCCGGCCGAGGGCTCCCGGGGGTCGTCTGTCCAGTAGGACACCTGGCCGTGGGGACAGAGCGGGCGTCAGCCGCCGCCGCGGCGGGCGTCCCCTGGTGGAGCGGGCCCCGCAGAGACAACGAGGGCCGCCCCGCCTTCAGAGGGGGCAGGTGCGAGGGCGAGAGGTCACGGGGGACGGGAGGGACCCGGGGTTTTCAGGTTGCCGGTGGGAACTGTTTCGTGATGGGCCGAAGGCCGCAGGCTTCAGCAGAGGGCATGTCCTGCGAGAAGCCGGGCCAAGCCCAGCAGAGGCACACCAGCCGTCAGAGGCGGCCGGCATGGCGCCCCGCTGCGGAGCTCTTTGACCGGGGGTGCGCTAATCAGTCACGCGGCTTCTGCGGAGGGGGTCCTGGGCACGGGCGCTGTTTCAGGCACCCCGAACACGACAGAGAGAGAGGGGGCGCGGCCCCTGCCCTCCAGCCCCTTGGGACCCGGGTAGGAGGTCAGAGTGCCCGTGTGGGAGGAAGCCAGAGCCGGGTTTGAGGGCTGGCACCGAGCACAGCACTCTGACAGTGTGGGGGGGTGGGGCCGGGAGACCGCCCGGGGCAGTGGTCAGGGGAGGGTCCCAAAGGCAGCAGGGGCTGGGGGTGAGTTAGGGGTGTCCGCAGGGTTTGACGGGGTGAGGCATTCTGGGATCGGAAGGGCAGGGTCACGGTCAGGCCAGCACGGCTCTCTGCTTGGACCGGAGGGTTCGTGTGAAAAGGAAAACCACAGCAGCGCAGGGGAAATTAAGGAGGTTTGGGATTACGCGTTGACTCTAACTCCAAAGTAAAGGACTCTGTCGCCGAGTAGTAACTCTCGGCTCTTCGGGAAAATGAGGCCCGCCGAGAGGACGTGAGTTTCCTCATTCCAGGTAAGCTCTGTTTCTAGATGACGGATTTAGGAGAGTCTAGGGTTTCTCTCATCACTTCACGGCCTTCTCCAAAACGACACCCCTTCCAAGCCCGCTCCGGCTCACAGGGCAGGCTCCCCGAGAAACTCTGCTCAGGTCTGCGATCAGCGAGCATGCGCTGTCCCTCCCCGCCCGCCCCACTCCCACGCCCAGTAGGGCTGCAGTTTGAATAGCGGTGTGAGATGATCCCTCTTCCCGTGTCCCAGGCCAGCCTCGGTTCCTCGGCTTGCTGGGAGACACCCCGCCCTGCGGCCGGGGGCGCAGGCTGCTGTGTCCCCAGCAGCAGGCTGGCCGTGCAGAACAGGGGACCGGACGCAGGAGCCCCCAGCTGTGCAGAGGGTGGGCGACCCCCGGGGGCTCACCTCATAGCCCAGCACCCGCCCGGTGTGCCTGTTCCAGGCGATGGCCGTCCACGACACCTCCATTTCCGAAGCAGAGGAGCTCTGGGCCGACGTGCCCCCCGGGGCCAGCTGGGGTTCTGCCATCCGGGGGAGAGACACGGCCATCTTCAACGGAGAGGTTCGCGGCAGGGGGGTGCGAACGGGGCCCCCAGCGCCAGGAGGCCCAGGCGGGAGCGGGGGCGACTTACCGTCCTCCCCGGAGTAGATGACGGCCGAGGGGCTCAGCGCCCCGTCCCCTTCGCTGTTGTACACGCCCACCTTGACCTCGAAGGGGGAGAGGGGGCTGACGCTCTCGTTTCTGTACACGAACGAGCACGGCTCCGCTGCCGGCACCCTGCGCGTGGTCCAGGCGGCCGCGCCCACGGGCCGCAGCATGACGACGTAGCCGAACCCCCCTCCGCTCTGGAGCTCCTCCGGCACGGGCTGCGGGGAAGGGACCGGCCCCTGAGTGCTGGCCCTGGGGGGCTACAGCTGCGTCCCCTCTACTGGCTGGCCGGGGCGCCCTGTCCGGGGGCGGGCCGGCTGCTCCGCCCGGCTCAGGGGGTCTCGGGGAAACAACAGTTCTTTCCTCTGGAGTGCCGGTCAGGGAGCTGGTCCCGGTTACAGACACTCACGTAAATCAGTAGAAGTTTTAAATAGGAATGTAAAATAGGTTTATATTTGATACAATATATTTTATAAAATATATATACTATATATTTTATAAATATATAAGCATCTATTTATATGTTTATATTTCTTTCCATGGGTATTCACAAGTATGAAATAAATTAGAAATTTGTAAAATTTTATAGGTTAAGCCCTGGCAGGCATAGCTCAGTGGATTGAGCGCGGGCTGCGAACCAAAGCATCGCAGGTTCGATTCCCAGTCAGGGCACATGCCTGGGTTGTAGGCCACGGCCCCCAGCAACCGCATATTGATGTTTCTCTCTCTCTTTCTCCCTCCCTTCCCTCTCTAAAAATAAATAAATAAAATCTTTTAAAAAAAGTAAAAAGATTTTATAGGTTAAAACATTGTATATTCACATTTTGATATGCATTTTTAAACTCGGTACAAAATAACTTATTAACTATGCTTTTCTTTCACAAAACTATTCAACAGGTGCATGTCAGATGCAGGGAATAGAGTTAGTGTGTAGTGATATTTGCTTAGTAGAAAGGGCCTCTCCCACATTTTTAAACCTGCATCTTCATTAGCGATAACATCAGTGTGCACTTTTCCCCGACATTAAAAAAGAAAAGACAAAAAAGAAAACTTTGCTAATTCCCACAGAGACGGGGTTCTTTAAGATTCATTGAAAACCTAAACTTATTAAAATTCCAAACCCAAAATGGATACCAGTTCCCCAGAGCTCCGCAGATATGAGGCATGACAATCACACAAAATAGATGGAGAAGAATTCGTGCTTGAATCTAGACAAATCTTCCCCCTGTTTATCGGAAGGTTTTCTTTAGAGAGCCACACCATGTATTTAGTTTCTCCAAAGGAAAGTGCTCCCCCCAAAAAAACAGTGTCCACAGACTAATTGGGCACACAGGGCAGGACCTGATGCTGGCCTCCCACGCCCCAGAGTCCACCTTGGGGGCCGCCCTTGCCCTCCGGCGCCCACGCACCGCACCTCTGACCCCGGGGTGGGGCCGCATCCGACTCCCTGGCGGTGCCCTTCAAACCACAGGCGCCGCCCTGTCCAGACCTGTGACCCTCTGTGATGCCGAACCCCCGCCCCCGGCCGTACTCCAGAGAGCCGCCCGGGCTGCCGTCCCTCCAGAACTCGGAGGAGAGCTGCAGGGGTGGGGCAGCGGCAGAGGAACGGAGAGCGGCCACCGGCAGAACGCACGCCGCACCGGGGGCCCGAAGCCGCGGGAGCTAGGAGGAAAGGAAAGCCACAGACGACGCGGAGAAGAGCCTGAACTCAGTCGGAGGTCGGAGGTGACGAAAACGAGGAGAACCGGGCGGGGCGGGAGGGGCCGGTGGAGCCGGGGCGGCGGCCAGCCCAAGGACAAGTGCGCCCACAGTCTCACGCCTCCGGTCCCCCGTCTCCCGGGCCCGCCTCCCACAGCTCCCCGCAGTGGCTGCGGGCGGGCGGGGGTGGGGGGGAGGAAGGAGAGGCCGAGGAGCAGGTCCGAGAAACCTCGGGGCGGGACTGTGCCCGCCCTCCACGGCGCAGACGCCCAGGCCGAGGGGGGCCTGGGCGCCCGGAGACGAGGAACTTGAGGTTGGTGGGAAGTGGAAGGTTTATAGTAATAAGCCAGGCTGATTGTTTTTTTCAATTCTCAGCCAAGGACATTTTTTGAGAGAGAGAGAGAGAGAACGAGAGAGAGAGGAGAAAGAAACATCAGTTGGTTTCCTCTCGCATGCTTCCTGACTGGGGATTGAACCTGCAACCTGGGTGCATTGAACCGCGCCCAGCAGGAACTGAACAGGAACCAGCAGGAACAGGAACCAGCAGGAACCGCACCCCCAGACTTGCTGTCTGCAGGGTGATGCTCCCCCCGACTGAGCCACAGCGGCCACGGCCAGGCTGGACGTCCCCCTGAGCACAGCACGAGCCTGCAGGTCAGAGGTCAGAGCTCAAGGAGGGCGGCACCAAAGCTCTTCCCTCTGCTGCGCTCTCACCTGCACGTGCGGAGGCGCGGGCCGGCGGGGTTCAGGGGGCAGCGAGGGGGCGCCCCTATTTTCCACCCGCGCCCTGTGGAATCCCACTCATCCACAAAGTCCACTGCCCGAGGCCACAGTCGAACCCAGTGCCGGCCGCCCAGTGACACTGGCTACGCCACCAACCGAACCCAACCCCCCCGTCGGTGCACACTGAGGTTGTTTTCCCTGCCCCGGGAAGAGGCTGGTGCCCCGCGAGTCACGGGCTGGCATTCTGGCAGAATAACAAACGCGCCCGGCGCCTCCTCCGGAGAAGGCTTCCTCGGGCGCCTTCCGTGCCATGTGCTCTCCTCACACGCCCGATTTGCTTGGCGCTGTCCTCCCCGGCCAGTGAACCCGCCTGCCCCCAAAACAGCTCAGTTGGATGGGAAATTACCTCCCACATCACGACGAGGTCAGACCGGCTTCCTCCGCCTCCGTGGATGTTGGCAGGGGCCACGGCCGGCACTGAAAGCAACCGAGAGAATGAGGGGTAGCGGTTAGGAGAGAGTGCGTCCCCACCGGGAGCGGCCCCTTTCGTGGGTTCCACACCCACTCCCCGCCCCCCCCCGAGCACACGCTCCGTGAGGGAGCCCGCATGCTGGAGGAGCACGCACAGTGTTCGTCCCCACGCCCACGTTACTATTCGACAGACGCCGTCGAGCGGGGCCCATGAGCGCCCCGGCTCCCAAGTTAATTAGGAGTGGGGTGACACCGTGCATCTGACATTCTCGTGCACCCTCCACTAATTGGCAGCACGATGCGGCTTTCAGGCGGTGCTGCGATCTAGCGCCTGAGTCTACAGTTGTGCCGTAAACACGTTCCCGAGCCAGATATTAATTAAATCTTCCTTCTTCCAATAAACAAACTAAAGTAGTTTTTATTTCTGGTAGTCATCAGGGTGTCTGAGCATTTAAAAATAAATTCTTGAGTGGTATATAATTAAATAAGTTCCTGTTTTGTGCTTGAGTCTCAGATCCCTCCGTACAGAACAGACGGCGTTTCTCTAACTCTTTGCTCCCAAAGTGTGATTGCAGGGGGTCTCTGATTCAGCCCAGAACTCTGGGGCAGAATATTCCAGATGCCGATTGTTTTTGTGAGTTATAGGCCCTTCATCTATGCCCCTGTGAGAACCACTGTAATGAATAATAAATGCTTTGAAGTGAAATCATGAAGTTGATGACAATTGTGTGTGTGAGTATTTATTCTAGTGTATTATCGGAGTGGGATTTTATTTTATACCCATGGAAGTGTTTAAAAAACCCTCTTTGTCCTGAAATAGTGACAAGATTATCCTAGATCTGGGATGATGGGTAAATCTGCGGGATGAGCGTTTGGACTGCTGAATGATACGCAGTTACCTGTGTGAGTTCGCCTGTTACCACCACCCGGGGCTGGGTGGAGTGACGGGTACCTTTGCTGAGGGAAAACGCAATCCGTGAGTTTCCATCGCTCGTTTCAAAGTTCTCTTCCACCACAGGGACCACAGAGACACATCCGAGGGATTTATTCGCTCCCATTGCACTCCCATGGTGAACTTAGTGATAGGTATTCCGCAATAATCTGATGGTTTTTTGGAAGAGCAGCCCCAGTCAGACATTATCCATTTTCTTTTATTTTTAAAATTTTTAAAAAAGATTTTATTTACTTATTTTTAGAGAGGGAAGGGAAGGAGAAAGAGAGAGAGCACGAAACATCAATGTGTGGTTGCTGGGGGCCGTGGCCTTCAACCCAGGCATGTGCCCTGACTGGGAATCGAACCTGCGACACTTTGGGTCGCAGCCCGCGCTCAATCCACTGAGCCACGCCAGCCGGGGCTGACATTATCCGTTTCCATCTGTAAATGCACCCTAACGCATCTGCCTCGATCTCCGAGTGCGTTCCCAGGGCGCCCTCGGCCTCCCCTCCACTCTTCCTCTGTCTTTCAGAGCCTCTGGCCGGGGCGGCGCAAGCCGGTGGGAGCACCCCACACTCACAGGTGTTCGTGCCGACAGCTCACGGTGACACCGTTTCTCAGCGGCTGTGTGATTGTGTACGTGCATGCGGAGATCCTTTAAAATTAGGCTTTAATTTGCTCTTCACAAAGCGTTGGATATTCTGGGTAACAAAGCCCCTTCCATTGTTCCATTTTCAACTGTGCCGTCGTCCGTACCCTGAAACCGTACTGCGGCCTGCCTCTGATGATGCGGAACAGAAAACCACGCGGTTCCCCAAGACCCGGAGCCCCTAGAGGGCGACCCTCCAGGACCCCGTGCCTCCTTGTGCTGTGCAGGTGCGTGCCGGTGGTTGACGGAGGGATTAACTCGGACAAACTCTGCTGTGGACACTGTGCGGCCAGCCCTGCCCGAAGCCGTGCTCATTCGCGTCCGACGGTCGGAAACAACCCGGAACCAAAGCGGAGACCTACGGGAGCCGTGCGCCCTTCCCTCGCCTCGCTGGGGTTTGCACCCAGGTCTCCTGCGGCTGCTCGCTTCCTGAAGCCGGTCCCTTGCTCATCGCGGTCAAGGTCAACGGCTGTGGGGCGGGCGTGCTTGTGGCCACCTCCGGAGGAGGCCGGGCTCCAGATTCCGGCTGGGCCCGACACAGCGGTTCCCGTCCCGCTCTCCCTCCCCAGCTCCGCACCGAGCACGCGTGTCTCCTCTGCGCTCTCCGCCTCCGGGACGACGCCCTTCTCAGCGCCGCTCTCAGCTGGGCCGCCCGGCGGCCGGCCCCCCTCTCGCGATAGAAGTGCCCCCCGATCTGTGGTTTCAGTGGTGACTCCCTGGCACCTGAGGTCCCGTGCCTGTGACTGCAGTAGCTTGTCAACAAAGCGACGGCACAGTGACCCTCAGTGGTGAGGCGCAATGGGGAGGTGGGCTGGGCTGGCCATGCCCAGCGTGTGGGCGGTGGGGCACGCAGGACCCTGTGCGTGGCGGTCTGAGCGCGGAACAGGGGTCCACGGAGGAACCCAGGAAGGGCGGCGCTCACTGGTCGTCTGCCCGTCAGTGCCCGTGGTCAGGGATGCGAGGGCCCGCCGTGCGCGTGTGGGGGAGGGACTCTGCTCTTGAGCAACAGGACCGTGTCAGGGTCCGTGCGGAGAGGCCGATGGAAATGCCTGGCTGTCCACGCCTGCAGTGTCTCTGCGGGTTCTCGGCTACATGTCTCGGAACAGGCAGAAGCTCATCTGCGTCTACAGAGTCTCTCCCGGTTTCGACTGGAAAGTACAGGAGAGCACGGCTCCGGAAAAACCCAGTCTGTGCGCGTCTGCTGGACTCAGTCCTCTCCCACGGAGCGCACTCACTCGGAGGAAATGCACCTGACTTTGTGCCAATGAGAACGCAGCAGTGAGGCCGTGGGCGACTGTCTCTGGCTTGGGCCAGAAACGGGGCTGCCCTTTCTGCTTGTGTTCTTTGGGGGCTGCACCCCCCGGAGCCTCCTGCAGCTTGGTCCGAGTCTTACCCGATGCTTTGGTCCTTAGCAGCTCCGACGGGCGGCTGGGCTCCCCGATCCCAATGCCGTTCCCGGCAACGACCCGGAACTCGTACTCCACCCACGGGCTCAGGCCGACCACGGTCGCGTTGAATGTCTGGCCGCTGAGAACTTCTGGAACTGCAAAGAAGGGGACACTGGGTAAAATCAGTCCATCCATCCATCCATCAATCAAACAAACACACCATGTGTTTCACTTAGTGACCCGACCGCCGGAGCCCCTTACCCGTGGAAACCGCCTGCCACCCCACGGAAAAGGGGGTCCGAGCCTGCACCGCGAAGACCTGCACGGGGCTGTTGTTGTCCGCGCCCGGCCCCCAGCTGAGCCGGGACGTGGTGCTGGAGACCTGGTCCACTCTGACGTCCCGGGGGGGGCCGGGGGGGCCTGGAAAACACGTGCAGTGATGACCGTGTGGGAAATCGTTAAGTTCGAGGATTCGAGACAGCTGTGTTTGGCTTTTTTTTTTCTGTTACGCTTGCAAAATAAAATACTGAACATAATATATTTCGGCACATTACTCGAGATAAAGCCCTATTAATTCAGCTTACATGGTGAGAGATTAATTTGGAAATGCTTCCTCTGAAGATTAGAAAATGCCAGCCATGGAACGCTTGAATATCATCCGATAAGGAGCTAATCTCCGGCTGAGAATGGCTCTCCTCCGCTCCTCGAGAAACTAGCTCAGTCCATGCAGCCGCCACAGAGAAGTGCAGGGACCTGACCTTGACCCCGCTCTGAGAGAGTGGCTCAGTGCAGATAGCAGGTGGGTGGGGGTCTCAGGGCCTCACGCTGCTGGCTGGGTCTGACTGCTCCTCAGAACTGGACTACACCTACGCCTTGCCACATCCGTGCCCACCCCACCCAGGCCCTGGGGGCTTGGAATTTGGAAAATTAAAAAAAAAACAAAACAAAACAAAAAAAACCTTTCCTGGCTGTCTCACGTCTGTATCACGGTGCGGTCACTCGAGGCCCTGCTTTAACTCATTAACGTTTTTGGCCGTGACGGACAGCATGCTTGTCTCTGTCCACACTCGTGCTGACCTCTGACAATGACTTCGGCGGCGGCAGACAAGGTTTCCAGAGCTGTTCTCACCGTGCACAGGTACCTCCCCGAGTGACTTAGCTGAATGTTCCTGATCATCAAATCCCCGACAGAGTCCTGCGGGCGGAAAGGGGCGGAAACGGAAACATGCTCAACGGGTCACGCGTTGCCACAGCCAGATAAACGCCGAACACCAGGCAGCCGTGAAGTTAGGGGTGTCTACTAGAATCACTGCCACTTCTCGTGTTTGACCTCTTTTATGATCCCCTTTCTTATAGGTGTCCCTAGAACGCAAGCATTTGCATGAACGACATAAAGCAAAGTAAAACAAAAACAGATGCAGCCGCACAAACAGGCAGCGATTGCCCAGGCAGATGAACACGGGGGAACGGTTAGGAAGGGCGTGGGCTGGTGTAAAGGACTCGGCTGGACTGGTGGAGCCCTTGGATGCTGCGGCAACTCACCCCGCCGATCCGCTCGAAGTGCGGCTCTCCCTCCCCGAGGTCGATGGCGTGCCCGTTGAAGGACCAGACAAAGCCCACCTCCACCGAGGGGTCGCGAGACACCTGGCACGGCAGCACGATGCTCTCGCCCACGGTGACGTCCGTCGGGGGCGGCGGCACGGTGATGGCGGTGCGCTCTGCGGAGAGAGGACGTCGTGGTCATGAGCGCGCACGTCCGAGGCCGGCGAGGGCTGTGGCGCTCACCCTCGGCGGGTGTGCGGCCGCGCGAGAGGCAGGCGTGGGTGCGTGCGCCTCGGGGCCCTGCCGCATTCAACGGGAAGACTCCTCTCGCCGTCTCAAGTGTGTCCGCACGGTCGGTTCAGCATGTTACTTTTAATAACACTAAAGACACGCTCTTATTCATGCTTCACGTGGGAAAACATTTTCTAGAAAGGTCTGTGGATGGCAAAGGACGGCATCCCATACGGGGGAGACACGCCACGCCACTGTTTTTCTCCCTGAAATCCCAGCCGCGCCCCAGTCCCCACGCGGGCTGCCGCTCCGAGCAGCCGGCGGCCACGGCTCGAGGACCCGCACTCCGTCCCGGAGATCGGAACTTTGGTGGTTCGCACAGACTCACGGGTGTACGTTCTCATTGACGAGTGGCACCGTCGTGAGGACGGTTTCCATTCCAGCTGGAGGAGCCACACCAAACGTTTTCCCTTTTTATCCAGATTTTGCAACGTTAGCTTCATCCATCTGTCATCCCAGAAACCTTCCCTCCAGAAATACCAGCCACGGCGTCAGCACTTTCTCTGCAAGGGCTGGGGTCCCGCCCCCGCCCGTGCCCAAGGCCAGCTCCCAGGTGCCCCCGCTGGCCTCCGGAGCCCCATCAGTTCTCCCAGTGGCGGGCTGTCTCTGAGTCCGAGGGCAGCTCGCCCAGCCCTGCCGGTCCCAGCCCAGACCCCGCAGCGAGCCAGCCGCGCACACACAGGGAGGCCTCACCTGCACAGAACAGGGGCGGGGCTTGGGCAGCAGGAACCTGCGTGGGTGCTATTTAAGGGAGGAACAAGGACTCAGCTCTAGTGCATTAGTGAGCTCTCCTTAGCATCCCTTTCAAGTTCTTCAGAAACTAATATTAGAGAGGTGCTTGAAGGCCATCGGGCTCCGTCCCAGGGAGTGGGGGGATGTTCGTGCACCACGTGGGCGCCCCTCCTGGAGGACCACAGGGCCGAGGACGGGATGACGCAGAACCCTTCCTGCTACACAGGTGCGGGTGACACCAGGGGGCCCCGAGTGACAGCCAGCTACAGAGGACAGACAATCGTCGGGGAAACTGAAATTACTTAAGCCTCTTCCTCTGGGAAAATGAAACCTAGAGGGGCAGACAGGTTCATCACTGTATCTGGTGTGATTTTAGTCCCCTGCACACTCCTCAGGTATTTACTTGTACGAGGTCGAGTCCCCTGGTTAACAACCCCTGGCGTGCGTGCGTGCGTGCGTTGGGTTCTCTGGAGAGCGTGTTCCGGTCGTGACATCCCGGCTCCCCCGGGAACCCTGGCTGGGTGGCTCCTCCAGGGGACGGGGGGGCGTGCATGTCCGCCCTGCGGCTGCCCTCCGCAGAACAGGTCCACGCGGCCGGGCCAGGGGCGGGGCTCGGGCAGAGAAGGCCTCGGGGTTGGCTGTCCGACCCCGAAACTCCCGTTTAAGGAAGAGCCACGCCCTGCGCACGAGGCCGTCAGACAGCCTCTGGGCGTTCGTGCCAGGAGGACGCGGTGTCCAGTAACACGCTGTGGGGTAGTGACACATCAGAGCGACACAATAGCCGCTTCCCTGGGCATTTGACTGTGGTTGAGCGTGGACGCTCCGTTTTATCTTGTTGAAAAGTCCAATTCCTGAATTTAAAGAGCCTCTTAGAATTTATTTAACTTTTGGTTTTCTACGTCTGCTAGATTATGGAACGTTTTTAACCCATCTTGCAGTGTCAGCGATTCTGGGACACGGTGTTTGGAAAGACGGCGTTCGTGGGTGCAGATGACGCACACACACAGGAGAGCATGTATGTGTGTGTGTGTTGCTGGTTTTATGGCACGTGGACACATGCAGACACATGTGTGTGTTTATGAGACTGTCACCTCAATGTCATTTAGTAATGCTTGTTAATTTTCAAAGTAAGGACACTGGTTTTGTTATCTGAAAAAGATTCCCTCACCTTTTAAAGCCCCGTTCTGAAATATTTACGGATGAAACCACGTGATGCTTGGGCTCTGCCTCTACCTGTTTGGGGGGGGCTTGGGGAGGCAGGGGAGGGTATACATGAGACGAATTTGGGCGTGAGCGGGTGATTGCCTATCTACCCTTTCTGATGGGTATATGCAAGTTCCTCACACTGTTTCCTCTGCTTTTCTGTGTTTGCAACTTTGAATAACAACAAAAGACGGACAGAAAGGACGTGAGGGCGGGGAGTGAGTGGCTATGGGTGGGCTAGGGCTGACGGCTTCCAGAAGGTTACCCTGATGGAAATGACAGCATCCATGGAGAGTCCATAAAGCTACAAAACTTTAACACTCACCATTTTCAGTCCATTTCCATGGGATAAAAGTCCTATGAAAATGACTTGACCGTCCAATCCTGTTCCTAACAAGTATGAGGGAAGGTTTAATAAAGTATACGCTGCTTTCGACGAGTAGCTTTACTCAGATTAACCTTGTTGATAGTGCACGAGGTTTCCGGAACACACCCACGGTGACGGGCACCGCAGGAGACGTGGGAACTAATTACTTTACAACTTGTGTCGGAATTGCTTCGTGGGACTTCTTCAAACACCAGTGCGATTGGTTCCTGCGTTAGTGGCCAGCCACGCCCCCCGTCCCACCCCACCCTGCAGGCGCCCTGCTGGGGGGGACGGTCCAGCGTGGACCTGGGCTCCTGACCACCCACTAACCGTCCTTCTTGTTTGTTTTGTTGCTTTCTTCGGCACCCTCAGCTCGGCCAAAAGCTCCGCCTGTCGGTGGCATTCTGCCGGCATCACTCTTCAGAGTAATCACTGCCCAGGTGTCTCCAAAGTTTCGTGCTCCTCTCGCAGGAAGGGGAGCCGCGCGAGGAAAGCCACCGACCCCCCTCCCTCGGTTCACACATGCGGCTCTGCCTTCGCACGTCCCTGACATTATCAGGAACGTTGCTAAGATACCCACACAAAGGGAGCTGGTGTATAAATAGCACTTCGAGCAGGTGACAAAACTCCCTGATATTTTCTCCTTGCTAGTGAACTTGTGAGGACGAGGAAATCAGTACTTTTAAAATCGGTTCCCCTTCCTAAGTCCTTGGGCCTCAAAGTGCCCTTCCTGCTAGCACACTAACCCTTTGCTGCCTCTCGGTTCCTTCTTCCGTTTGCACGCTTCACCCTAGGACTGCCCTCCCTCCGCCTGTGGAAGCTCCGTTCACACTCGAGCGCACGTGTGGAAGTGGTCGACCCCCCCCCGCCCCAGGTGTTCTCTGTGTTAAGGCACCTCCGTCTGCCCTCGCGTGGGAGGGCACCTCTGCTGGGAAGGGAACCCGCACTGGCGTTATTGTCCAGCCCTTTGCAAAGGCCGCTCTGCGGGCCTCCGGGTCCCCGTGTGTCTGCCCGTCTCTCCACGTTCGGGCTGCGGTTGTCCAGGTGGAGCCTACGCACCTTTTCCAGGAGGATGCCTCTTCTCCCCCTTGGGCTCCCTGCCAGGCGCTCATGGAAGCTTCCCTCTGTGTTTATCCCGAATAAAACACCTGCTGTGCTTTTCCATTAAAAAAAAATTGTGGCGAATATTTGTCTTCAAGCATCGCCGAGGCCTCGCCTGCCGTCTCGGGTCTCCAGCCCACGAGGACCTCCAGTGTCACACGTGTTAGGCCGGCTCAGCACGTCCCAGCGTCCCTTCGGGTCTTGCCTGCCTGTCACGGCCCCCTTCTCTCTGTGGGGCGCCCTCTGGGAACGTCCAGTCCCCGCGTCTGCCCCGCAGGGACCCTCCCGTCGGCCGGATCCAGCGTCGCACCGAACCCCTCCACCGTGTTCTCCCCGCTGCCCCCTCCCTCCTCAGCTCGGGAACTCCCAGGTGCTCCTAGCAGGCGGCACTGCCCTCCTCCAGGGCTCCGTCTTGTCATCTGCGTTTGCCACAGTCGTCACGACTGGTTTGTAATGCCCTCGCCTGATAACTTCCGGACCGCCACCGGCGGCTGCCACTGCCGGATGGTCCCCGGTCTGGCCATCAGCTCCTGGCCCCGGCTGTTTCTGGCAACATTTGACCAACACCAGCCCCTGCGGGTCAGAAGGAAACGTTTTTACTTTGTTACAGGTTTCCAAGTAAGTTTCCTTTGTTCAAGGAAGCCGGGGCAGAGGGCTGGACCCGGTCAGGAGTCGGTGTGCGTGGGGTGGCTCCCAGGGGTGTCGAGCGCTGGCCGGTTTTGCTCTGGTGTTCCCATCAGGGACACGGTCCTCCGGGGGCTGGGCTCCCGGCTGCTTGATTGGCAGCCCTCGTCCCTCTTCGCTCGGGCTGAGCGCCGCTTCCCTCGCCCCCCTGGCGCCGCGAGGCCGCCGGCCCTTCCCCTTGGACGTTCCCGCTTTCTGCCGGTTGGTTGCCTGCGTTTCCGACTCGCACGGCTCAGACGGCGGCCCGTTCCCGCAGGAGGAGGAACCCGCCGGGGAGGGGGGCTCCCGCTTCTCCGCTTCTCCCTTCCCCGGAGGACCAGAGGACCACCCCTCGTGCTGCCACCCCCTCGGTTTTTCTCGCACGCCCTTCGTGCTTCCGTTGCTGTGTGCATTGTAAACACACGGTAACACCGGCTGGTGGCCGGTGGCCGGTGTGACGCGGTTGGGACGGAGCTGCTGCGACTGGCCGGGGCAGAGGTCTCCCCCGTGTCGCTCGTGTTTAATAATGATGCGCTGTGGGCCGGGCGGGGGGGGGCGGCCTGGGCTGCCAGTCCGTCCGTGGGAGACCGGAGGGCAGCTGGGGTGGGGCCACTGAGGCCGCGGGAGCAGGGCGGGCCGGTGCTGCGGGCAGAAGTGGAGACCCCGGTCTCGCCCCTCGTCCCACACTGAGGGTGTGGCTGCTGGTCCTCTGCTCTCCAGGCGGAAGACCAGGGGCCGGAGGTGGGGACATTGTCCTAAGGATCTGGCGAGCCTAAGAGACGGGACCTACATGCAGTGTCCTTAAGGATTCCCCAAGGA